AACACCATCCTACTTCTTCTTTTATCTGGCCAAGAACACGGTGAGATCGATAGACGTATGAAAGACGTTCACGAGAAGGTTGCTTCTGCTAGATGCACAATTTACAAGGACGCTCAATGGAGTTGGATTTGGACGTGCTGCGGAGCCAGGTGGAAGGCGATCCATATCTAACTACTCGTGAACAGGCAGTCACTCTTAAAGTCAGTCCACAGTTGTTCGTGGATTGAAGTCATTCGGCAAGGTGCGAAATTTCGGTCGATGGATGCCTCATGCTTTGAACAGTATGACAGACATGGACTGCCGCTCTGATATAGCACTTTCTCTCCTCAATTTGGAGCGCAGGAAACGGTCAGGTGTATTCGTTAATATGTATTTGAAAGAACTTTTTATACTCTATCTAACGATGCCTTGCGCGTCCATTTTCGTCACCACTTTCCCGAGTTATGATCCCTAGAAGACAACACAATCACATTGTCCGAGGACTTATGACTCAACCTAGATGTTGCAATCTATTGTAGCATGCTTCACAAATTGTACCTGAAGAACATTCGCTATAACCACAACAGGATATTTCTTCATGTCTGGTATTGTTTGATGGGTGAGTATATCAGCTTCCGTGGCGTTATTATATGTATGAAGATTTACTGACGTCACCTAGAAGTGGAGCATAAATTAATTAGAAAAAACCAAACTCCGTATTTCTCTCAAAGTGAGTGGAAATAAGTACGCGTTGGAAAAAACTGTGAGCATTCTATCTTGGAATAAGAATAAAACTCCTATTGAAAAACTGCCATACAGTTGCCTTATGTGGCTGATATCTTGAACCCTTTCTCGAAGTTTGTGTTTCAACAGAGTCAGCCTAACTTTCGCATTCTTCGGACACTTTAAAGGCCAACACTTAGGAGTATTCGACTGAGCGTCGCAGTACTGCTGAAGATTCAGCATCTTCGAAGCACGCTTGTAATCCGAAAATCCAAAAAAGCCCTCCCCTTTCCCCTCTCCCCCTCCCCAGTTGCTTTACAAGTTTTTACAATAGACGAATATGTAGTAACCGACCAAGGGACAGTGTCAGCAGGGCTCAGTTTATATCCGATAGTACTGTATAGGACCCATATTGACCCCATATTGAGCCTTTGTTGTCGGTCATAGTCTATTTCCGGGTCCCACAATGTTGCCCATGCCTGCTGTTCCTGAAGTATGACACTTCTTTTGCGTCAAGGAATGGTCTGAGCCTTAGCGGTCTTGAGCTGCAAAAACCTTTCACTAGAAGCAAACAGTGCACAAAATCTGTTTATCATGCACAATGCGAACGCACACCGTTGTAGGTCGCTTGATTTTTCAGAACTTTGGAGACCTGTATTCAATTCCATGATAGAAACCACCACCTCATAAGGCCTTAGAGGTATAGGTTCGTTACTGGATAAATATTTGCTCGAAAAATATCATAATACTACGAATATGGGATTCCAAACTGCCTATTCGGCTCTAGGAAACAAGAAGCTTATTGACCATCATTGACAGTGGGATGGTGTAGGCAGTCAAACACATCAATATAACGGTCCTCGTCCTTATTTCTGTGGCGACCAGTACAATGCAGCGATAAGCCATGGAAATCATCCATGACAGAAGAGCGTTGAGCGAGAAGTGCACTGTAAAGCATAATTTCAGGAGGCGGTACTCTTCTGAACACGATGATTTCTCACTATTTATGCATAACTTTATATGTCATTACTATGAATGATCATATACAAACATATACATTAAACGAAGAAAATGATAGTGGATTTGCGTTTTCATGCCTGCTGCTACAGAATTTGGCATTGCCTATTGCATGGAGAACCTTATGTCTCGCCTAGGAGTATGGGTACATTCACGCAGATTTGGATGACGCGGAAAACCGCGCGCCGAAATTCGTGGTGATTAAAACGGCTTTGGTGCATTAGGGCACGGGTTTTGAGTAAACTGGATANCCGGCACGCCGGCACGCGCGCCGGCCGGCCGGCCGGCCGGCGGACTATGAAAGCAGCCTATGGGTACATTCACGCAGATTTGGATGACGCGGAAAATCGCGCGCCGAAATTCGTGGTGATTAAAACGGCTTTGGTGCATTAGGGCACGGGTTTTGAGTAAACTGGATATGTAGGGCCAGCTGATGCTACTTATCTATCCCACTTCGAATTTGTGCCCTAATGTTAGGCGTCAGAGTCCTTTTAATCGACACGAATTTCGCAGCGCGGTTTGTCGCGTCCATCCATTTCTGGGTGAATGTTCGGTCTCCCTACTGATCCTGGATCGGGTGGTCCTTAGGATTGGATGGATGGACGAAGGCCTATATGGAGCAAAGGTAAATTAAGCTGAAATCAACCCATAACCGATGGTTAGATGCTGCAACGGGGGTCCAAATGAAGAGATCCTTGACTGTTATCACTACTGAATAAGGGGCTCACAATCTATATACCTCCATACGGGCAAAATACTGCATCGAAAACGGCAATAAATAACATTAACCTCCGTCAAGGTATTGCTGCACAATTCTAGAAGAAACAGGGAAGCGTCAGCAGTTCCAATGTGGCTTAGGAATTTGCAAATTAGGAATAAAAAATTGGCAAATTTTCCAGGACTACGGCAAAATTTCTGACGGCGGGTAAGATATGCGCCTAATAACCGTACGATTTTATGACTACTTTTTCGAACTGTGCTTCGCTACACGATATGTTCAGTATTCCAAAATAATCCCTAGTAAATGCCCAGAAAGGCACTGCCTGCTGCACTATGTATGTATATGCATCTTAAGCGATTATTTTTTGCTAACACATTTAAAGGTTGGATCGAATAACTCGTAATCTGAGTTCATCCGAAAACTCACACATTGCTGTGTAGAGCATACGACACACATCCTTTCCGAGGAATTGACTTGGTCCAAGATATATGACTATAATACTGAGTCCTTCACCGAGAACCCTAAATGCCATTTCTATTAGAAATTTGCACAGAGCAAATATAGAATAAGTAAGTTGGAACCCTAACGATGATACCATTCTCCTGTCTCAATGCCATTTTTTTCAAATTTTCAACGTATCGGAGCCCAGGCGGAGGTGGTGTGGTGGGCAAGTAGCGCACTATCTCAACGCACGGACAGGGGTTTGAATTCCGGATCGGTGCCCGCCTAGGCTAAACAAGCCTTCCATCCCTCCGGGGTCGGTCAATTGGTACTGGGAGGATGAAAGCACTGACTTGCACATCGGCTGGCCACCGCAAGTCATTGCATGAGTCTCTTACGCCACTACGATTCTGAATGGATGTCGAGTGCGGGGGCGCATTCCTCAGAAGGGATCGATTAACGCAAAGAACTTTATCCTTTCATCCTTTATGCGAGTCGTTCTTAGCCAGCTATACGGTTATTTTCACATGAAGAGAGACTTTTTGCTCCAAATTTCTCGTTGTTCAAGACCGTCATGTAACTGTCATGAGGCAGAATAGTTATCGAAAAAAAATTTTGCGAGAAGCATCTTTTTCCGACTTAGACTGAACAAATATCTTCAAAATAAGAAAATGTTTCATAATGAGTAATGCTTCATTATAGGACTTCTCAATCTCAGTACAACTTATTTTGATCTAACAAGTTTCTCATGCGCTAAAAGTATTCCTTGTTTACAGCCACTATAGCATTGATTTGGTTCATACATATTATCAAAGTCTCCAAACTCATCAAATAATCGAAGAAAAATGCTATGGAACTTTTTCATTCCAAAACCGGTCCATCACGTCATTCTATATCACGACATGTGAAAAATTTCTTAGCACTTTCCCGTCATGTTTTCGATCATTTTCACTCGCGTTTCTAACGGCAGTTCGTGGTGTGTAGGTACAAATACAGACATACTCCAACATCTTATTTCAACTGCTTACTGACATGGTTGTTCTGCACACGATCGGGTCTGCACTCCTCAAGTCCTCTCTTATTTTATGGCAGCACTAGTTGGGCCACACACGCTCACGCGTTCATAACATGGTCTAATCTAATGGTAAGGTTTTCAGGGGATCAACACTATTGGTAGGTTTCCTATCTCATAACTGCTCCCTCACCGTGCCCACGTGACATTTCACACTCTCTATCGCGCCGGATTTAATCGTCCCGTGGATGTGTTACCCAGTAGCCCGAATACACATTCAAGCGCCTACAAACACCCGTAACATATAAGACGCAACACAAAGGTATACTATGTGAAGCATCAAGAGGATGATTGGTTGGGGCTAGGGGGTTACTATATCACATTGGTCAATTGGGGAAATCGAAGCAGTGAACTTTGACAGACATCAGACGCTCTTGTTTATTTCCCTTCGTCAACTGCTCTTCTTGTCGCGGTAGACGACACAGACGTTATATGTATATTATTTGTGGATAAGGCTAAGAGTAGCTTTCTTTGCTCGAGAGGCATAGCGTAAAAACTTTCGGCACAGAAACACACCACCCTTCACTCCCCTTCCCCATAACTTAGTTTTCATTCACGCCGCAAGGTTTTTAAAAGAATCTTTGTTTGAAGTTCTCGATGTAATCTTCTTAAGTGAATATATCTGGGAGATCTATTCCCTCTGCTGGGACGATACTGAAAAATCTTCATTATAATTTTGAAATGCGCCTACCTCGGTGAAATTGATATATAAACAACGTCGGCAAACATCTGTGTAATAGCGGTGTTAGCAAGAAATATACGATAAGGCGAGAGATTTGCCGGACTTTTGAAGACAATTATAAAAAGCAGGAACAAATTCATCATGAAACCCCATGTCGATAAACCCCACACTATCGCAAGGAAAATCTTGTCAGAAGGAGAGTAGTACGCGATCATTTTCTGAAATGGATAGAATACACTTTGACAGCTTTACGACGAAAGTCAAATGTCACGAATTAGAAATAAGAGGTGACACCGATTGAGGTGTACTCATGTTAGCAACAAGTACGATAACAGGGTTAAGAATCTCTCCGGTCCATCATTAAGGTCTAATTCGCGTTAGTGTCAGAAAACGGTCACGAGTGCAAGAGTCACAGCTGTTGAGGTATTAAGCCTGACTCAATGATCGCAATTTGCACATTTTCTACAACGAACGAAATGATCTGTCTATTTCTTTCTTAATTATTTCAGAGCTCCTAATTCCTAATTACGATTTGTGCGGTTTTAGCAGATTAGAATCGCGAAATTTCATTCAACAAATCCAACCTGTTGGGAGGCCAGTAAGATTGCTCGGCTCATCCGGAGTCCCGCTTGAGTCATAAGTATCTGGGTGATTTACTTCATGCTTCAGTGTTTTCACCCGGTCGCTATACTCCTTTCAAACTTAAAGGCAGTGTTCACGAAAAAGTGGTTTCGGAGCTTTGAACATGGGTTGAATTCGAACCCCTCTGGTACCATTTGTGCAGGAATGTGGTCGGACAACGGCTGGATAGGGCACAATAAGGGGCCGGAGAGTTATCCACGGTCGCCCTCCGCCCCTCGATCGGTGTCACGTTGGACGAGTGTCGAGACAATACAGATTTCTATCATTCGTTCTAGGACCCACGCACAATCAGCTAATCGCCGAGTGGTGAGGCGATGTTTTTCTCCCATTCTTTTTTCCCCTGTTTTTCTCATTGCTGCCGCGATCCCTTATTTAATT